TTTTTTTTTTTTTTCCCTGTTTGTTAGATAGGTGGAGTTTTGCTCGGATAAAAAGTGATGTGATTTTTAATAGGAATATTGATTGAACGCGGCATGACGCTACCCTTTCTACCTTGGCCGCTACCAAAATAGCTCACTTGTCGTGGCTTTGCCTTGAATACCTGCGGTAACGACATTATCTCACAGATGCGCTGCATGGTTTAAGAAAGTACGAACGCCGGAGCCAGGTTACACGATCTCAACCTTCTCGATACGAATGTCGGAAGTGCGAATTCATGAAGACCGGTGCCTGAAAGGAAAGATGCATCTCATTTATAGCAGTGAACAATATTGTTTTCTAGATGGAAATTTTGAGAACTGGCCATCGACCGCAGTTTGATGCTCTGATTTGCCAAGGTCCAAACAAGAAAATCTAAATGATACCCCCAGAAGCTCAAAGCAACTTATCCATTACTTTGATACTTCAGTCAACTGTGTCAAAACCCGTTTCCCCTCTGCCCATTCGATCGTGGCTAATATCACGGTCGATGAATTGGTAACATTCCCGGTGACCTTGTCTTTCAAGGTGAATTGAGAAAGCTGGGCAACCGAGCCACTAGTGCCCTTCGGATCGGTCTGCGACTCGAGTAGTTCATCGTTTTGTTGCTCTGATATGTAGTTTTTAGCGCGAGCGTCTTCGATTGCATCCCGAAATTCATCGTATGTCATATAGTTTCCATTGATTCTGTAGAGTCAGCGAGGCCTTATATGATCTGCCCAGCTAGCGATATCGTACCTGACTGTGATGCCACGGCTTATCCCGTGAATGAACGTTCGACTTGACACTATATCGTCTGGCTGAAAAAATATGTTCGTGAATAATCGAACTAGCCACGAGCCAATCGAATCAAGATGTTCAGGCATCCTTGACTTATAGAAAAGAATATCAATCGCTGGGTAGTTGGCAACCGGAGTTCGTGGAATTGTGTGATCTTGTGAAGATACCACTACAGAAAGAGTAAAGCAACGCAGGGCACCGAACACCACAGCTTCTTTGAGGTCCTTCTAGGAAGAGGGTGCATTGATGGGAAATATATGTAGGTTCCCGCGGCGGAACTTATGACGGTACCGGCATCCTCCTTAATTTGTGAGTACTGTATCTGATTTGTTGCTCGTCCCATCTTCTGTTCCGTTGGTGGAACTGACCTGTGTGGTAACGTATCGCTGCTTGCGCCGATAGCGATCCAATAAATGTTTCACCCTAAACAACTCAAACCATTAAAGTCATGGCCGACGACGAGTGGTGACACTCCCGACGCACGACATTTATATGACGCCACTGATCCACATTGCGGCTGAAGACAGAGCGGAACTCAAGTGAGTTCCGCCGCGAGTTCCGCCGCGAGTTCCGCCGCGAGTTCCGCCGCGAGTTCCGCCGCGAGTTCCGCCGTGAGTTCTGCCGTGAGTTCCGCCGCACATGCTCAAAACACCACATATTCGATCGAACACGGTGCGTATCATGATTATGATTCGCAAAATGACCATCTATTTTCCTATTCGGGACAGAACACCCTGCTACTGCATTTAAATGATCTTTGAATAATAGATGGTTACGACCTACGCTGTAGCTACGGTCCTAAGGAAGCTGACCTCTTATTGGCTAATCCGATGTAAATCATCCCACCAAGCTTCCGCAGGCCATGCGGAAGCTCTGGCTTGCTAGGTAGAAACTATATATTTCACATTAATGAGCTGCTGATTCCAAGCCAGAGTGAAAGTAAATCACCAACGAGTCGGACCACCCTCGACTAGACGTTTTCTCTTCAGTTGATTGTTGCATTCAAATTTGTTGTTTCCCCTCCTGTTGTTTGGGCAATGGCGACTTATAAACCTTCATTCATCACAAAATATCATCACGACACCTATACCTCCATCTCAGAATCAAAGCATGAGCTGAGCTGTGAGGGTAAGACTGTCTTTATTACCGGTGGCGGCCGTGGCGTTGGTCGCGCAATCGCCAAGTCGTTTGCGATTGCCAAAGCCGAAGGAATATTTCTGATAGGGAGAAACAAATACGATTTGCAGACAACTATGAAGGAAGTTCTCGCCACAAATGTCGTACCTGCAGGCAGTACAAAGGTTTTGTACTTTGTCGCAGACATTACGAATACTGACGCCGTCTCTTCTGCGATCAAGCAAGCAATCGATTCATTTGGACGAATTGATGTTCTTGTGCAAAATGCTGGGTATCTTGATGCCCATCGCTCAGTTATCGATTCGGATTTGAACGACTTTTGGCGGTCGTTTGAAGTTAACGTGAAAGGCGGCTTGACGGTAATTCAAGAGTTTCTCAAAACGGCGCCCAAAACAGGCGCCACTTTGATCAACATTGGATCAGGTGCAGGCCATATTCCGTACATACAGGGTTATTCTGCCTACTCGGCGTCAAAGCTTAGTCTGGCAAAGATCGTTGAATATGTGCACCATGAGAATCCTCACCTACGTGTCTTCAACATCAACCCAGGCGCTATCGCTACCGAGATGCAAGCAAAAGCGGGTGATCTAGCTGCTCCCGACAATATCGGTGTGTTTACTTCTCATGGCTTCGATTCTATCGTTAACTTCTTCTTTCGCGCGATTCTGACAAGTAATTCATCTAGGTTTGCCGGGATCATTCTGTGTCTGGCTCGCCACGTCAGAGAGCGCAAATGCGTTCAAAGGCAGATTTATCTGGTCCAACTGGGATGTCGAGGATTTGCAACAGCATGCGGAGGAAGTGCAGGCCAAAAATCTTCTGGTTCATGGGCTCAATGGGTTGTGAAAGACTAATCCAACTTAGCGAGATATTAATGCTTTCCCATGAGGCATGTCTTGAACGAAAGGAAGAACGATGCTATTTCCAGCTTCTAACCGAGATAGCGCAGATGCTGATGGTGCCGGCCTGGGGCCAAATTTAATATATGCTATGCGTTGCTCTGGATTGTATAATATATATATAACCGTGCATGATCGTGGAAGGGGAATAGGCGGGTAGTTGGGGAACATGGAGGTAGGGTGTGTATACAGTTTCGTGTAAAATACATTCTACGAAGTCTCATAGTTGTATTGTAAAATACAAGGACTACTCTAGGAAACGACCTGAAAGGTGGGATATCGACCATCATAACCTATCAGGACTTGCGCTTTTCGGATTTATTTTCCGGGATTCAAATCGTAAGAGGTATAACTGATTTCGAAAACTACTTGATGTCGGACGATATCTCGGCGATAGCCCGCGGAATAGCATCCAGACCATGTATGATGAACCACTTTGTGCATTCTCATTGACTCACTTATCCCGTTTTCTTTGTGTTGGCCTTTTCTCCCATTTTCCGTGTATCTAGTCGTTCGCGATAGATACATTCAATAGATCATTCGCTCCCTATCGCTCCACACTTGATGAGATCTGATAGATCGGACCAAGGAATAATTTCACCGGTACGCTTTTTCTCAAATCGCTTGCATCCGTTGCAAACCCGCATTGTTCTCGCTGACTGGATTTTGGCCGGACACAGAACTCCCAGATTCATTCACTAATCTCTTTCAATGCCCCGGAAATGGCGATTGGACAAACATGACATGTAGTGGCAGAGCTGATGCAGAAACCGCATGTATAGGATATAAGATCGTCAATTTACCTTGCAGAATCATTCGGAGTAAATGAGGCACGCTGGATGTCACATGCAGATGCTGTTGTAATAGCCTTGTAATATTTTAGTCCCTCTTCTTTCATATATGTTGTGGCGATTACTATAGCCTTGGGGTTGGCTCTTTCTAATTTTCTTATTATTTGCACTCTGCGATCGTCCTGTTTTCTGAATGGCATCATCACCAGGGGGGTGTATGCAGGAGACAAAGGATAATGACTGTGATTCAACACTAACTTTGTCTTGCTAGATTACTTGTCTTAGTTTACTCTAATCTTATGTATCATCATTCCCCCGACTGGTGGTTTCACTGTTTTTACTTGTGGAAATTAGGATCCTGCTGGTTTTGTTTCTTTGTATCTGTAAGGCTTCCCATTTTCAACCTTTGATACTGTTAAGATTAGACTAATTGTTCATGCCAGTGACATGTCCCTTGTCCTCGTCGTATAACTCACCCGACGCATGAAACTCGTCAAACTCGAAGATATTGCCCTCCGTGACACTCTCGAAGAAGCCAGAAATGAACCAGATAATGAGCCTCCGCTTGGTCTGTAGACCAATCGAAATCATGTGTATATCCAAATAACTCCATATACAAACGGTTTATATATTATTGTGTTTGGAAACACCCTTTCAATCTCACCGCTCGGCATATACATATGTAGGTCAGCACAAGGGAATATCATCCATGTGCGAGTTCTAATTGTGCATTCGATCGGGATGGAAGAAATTATTCTAAGGCTCACTGGCATGTTGCTCCGAATACTACAAGATACATGCAGGTTCGACCATGAAGATCCCGTGAAGCTGAAAGAGGAACATATATTTTGCGGTGAAAGGTATCGGTTTCCGGATGATGATCAAAATGATTGGGAATATTATTCCACAGCCTCGCGTAAACGAAGCCAAGAATGGAGACAGAAATTGTCATCCAATTTTTGACAGAAATAACCGTCAATTAAATCATCATTGGCTCAATACATGTGCGACCCCTGTCTGGCGCTTACAGTTGGCGCCTATTTCAACCCAGCCTCGCCACGTCATTTCTCCACCCCTTCTCTCTTCTGTCTTCAATTTCTTTCTTATTTCTGCTTTGACAAGATATGACGGCTCGGAAAAAATTGTCATGCTGTTACCAAAATGAAACGAGTCCGCCCTCAGCCTGAGACCTTCACGGTAGGCTGGACGCTGCATTACCTCTTGAACATGAAGCGGTGGAAATGCTAGATGAGCAGTGCGAGGCTCTGGACTATCTTCGACAATACACACTGGGTCGTATCGGACCTCATCATGTTGCCATCGCTGTCCTAAGTCGAATGGGAACCATCCCAGCCGCGGGCGAGGCAGAAGCTATGAGACTAATGTTTCCATGCCTTCAGTTTGGCTTCATGGTTGGAATTGCCGGTGGAATCCCCAGCGCGAGTGCGGATATTCGACTTGGCGACGTCGCTGTCAGTAAGCCACAAGGAAAATATGGAGGAGAGAAAAGTCATACTGGGAGTCTCAATGGGCCGCCGGTGGAGCTTTTGACTGCAATTACTAGGTTTCAGGCGGATCTTACTCCTCGAAGTGCTGGGATTCGGAAACACCTATCGGTATTCAATCATCGCCCAGGAGTTTTTGCGTCAGAATGCTGGTCTAGACGAACTTTTTTATTCATCTTATGATCACCAGGAAGGCGCGACTTGCGATACCTGCCGCAGAGATATGCTTGTCATACGAAACCCGCGACGGACTGATGAACTAGTGATTCACTTTGGAACGATTGCCTCAGGAAATTGGGTTGTTAAAGACGCTATAACGAGAGACCAACTCAGCGCTAGATTTGGGGGCGTTCTTTGCTTTGAAATGGAAGCAGCTGGCATTCACACGAGGCCAAAAACCCAGCATCAAATCTAGCAATGTATTCACTAAAAGTAGTATCCCACGAAGAGCCATCCATCACCCCAAGAATTCCTCATTGTACTTCTCACCATGCCACTGAAGGTCCATAGAAGTGAGACCGGAAAGATCCAGTGACCCGGGATTCGTTATCTCGACTGTCCAGCTCGTAAATGGCGGTGGTGCGCTGTACTCATTTGTATTGATGGTGAATGCCGTATCCGTGACAGGCCTTCCGTCGACGATATTATACGAGTACTCGCGGGAGAACACAGGGCCGACAAAGTTGAAGATGTCCGATTTCCGTATATCATTGTATACCCCGGATGTAGATATCTTAAATGCAAAATCCGGCTCGTTCTTATCTTTGACATTAGACTTCGCACCAACCAGCGTGATCTCCACCCTGTTGATGCGAAAGTGAGACCCGTCGTAGAATGGACCAGCTGGACTGTGATCTTGTGTCTTTGGGGCTTTGGGGATGAACGTGAAAGTGCTTTTATGGGAGGTTTTGAGCTGTTCAACGATTTGGTCGTTGTACGGGGCCGGTAGCTGGAGATGTCAGTAGGGTTGAATTGAGGGAGCAGGATGAGGAAGACCAATAGGTAGCTCACATTCTGGGATGGTATGGCCTTCTTGTCAAATGCTGTATAGTCCTATGTTAGCAAGATTTAACACCTTGGATCAGCCGGACTTACGCGAGGGACCACCGGGATACTGCTCTTTGAACGTTTGCAATTTCATAACCAAGTCAGAGAGATCCTTTCGGTAATCCTGCAAATTCTTCAGTGGATAAATTTGGATGGGATCATTGTCCAACACGGCGAATTTGTACGCCCAGGCGACATTGCGCATCTGGATGAGGATGCTGGTTCGAACGGCCATGTACCGGTCATACATCCGGACCTCTGCCTCTTCCGTCAACGTCTGGTCCTTTTCAAACTTCTTCTCCAATTCTGTAAGCCTCTTGAAATCTCTCTGATGCAGGATTACCTCCATATATGCATGGATATATTCCTGTGCAGACTTGATGGCTTCTGCCTTGGCCTGTGCCAACAGCTTCCCATTGATGGAGTGCTTTCGAAGCCCCAATTGGAATGCCGCTGCGTCATTTACACCCTCCTTCACAGCAAAGGCTAACCCATTGTTGGCATCTTCTATCCATTTATCCCATTCAGCAATGGACAGAAGCGCGTCTGCATCGGCGGCATCACCTTGGACCTCTTGGATCGGCCTGACATCTGCATCCGGGCTCTTCTCGAGTTCCTGGAGGTTTTTAATTGCCCTGGAGATGTTCGGATACAGCTTGTATACCGTCGATGCACCCTTGGCGATTTTCTTGAGAACGCCAGAGCTGAGCAGGGACTTTGCGGCCTCGCCGCTTTCTTCGACCTCCTCGACTGCCTCGATGGCTTTGCTGACCGGGCCGCTGCCCCCTGAGCTGCCCAGGAAGAGCATGCCGATTGACAAACCAAAGTCTGAAGAGCTCAGTTAGTTAGTGGAGTAGGAAAAGGGACCCAAGCTGCATACCGGCTATGGCGCCGAGGATCTTGAAGACGGCCAATTTCTTTTGTTTTTTCTGCCAGGCATCTAGCCCCTCCTTGTATTTATCTCCCAGTTTTTTTATTTGATCTTCGTCCTGTTTCATCATGGCTTCGCAAGAGTCAACAATGTCGAGGACATGTTTATACTTTTTTTCCGCTTCGTCCCGGTGCTGCTCTCCATTCGTGAGCTGGTCTCCCGCTTTGCTCGCCATTTCCTTCCAGGCGGCAAATCGGTCTTGCACATGATTATTGCGACACTGGAATATTTGATACTGTGTTTGAAAGGCTTCCCCTGTATTTAATAGAAGAGTCTGGGCCTCGGTATATTTGTCCACCGCCAGGACAGGCACGTAGTTTCCCGTTGGCCCGAGGAGCTTCTGGATGGCCAGCTGCTGACCGAGACTCACGGCTTGAAGGTTGGTACTTCCGTCATACTTATCACTACTCCCTGTGCAGAGAGCCACGTAAACGGTCAATCCCAGGGCGAGATCTGTATGACTCCAAAATAGGATGGAGGCAATGCGCAGTTGAGTGGCCAAGGTTTCCACCAGCCAGGGAATGTCGTAGCAGAGGCTATAATCCTTTGTCCACGTTGTGGTGACTGGAGGCTTTGCTGAGTTGTCGATTTCTATCTCTAATCCAACATTACCTGTACCCGGGCCAAGACCAAGGGTGTTCTGAACCTTTCCATCAACATTGTCAACTCCGTCGATCGAGTAGGTGAACTTCTGGTCGGGAGTGGTGCCGTAGATAGTGAATGAGCCTGCAGCCACATTCTTTGCTTGTAATTTGATGTTAACCGGAGAGTCCGCGGTCAATACTCTGCCATACAGTTGTATACCACCCGAGGTCTTTGACAGGTCGACGGTTGTGTCGGGCTGGAAGCCAAGAACATCTGCCGCGGCAATGACTTGAAAGGGCTCTGCTGCGATGACCTTGGTCACATCGACGTAGACATCTCGGATGAATACGTTCTGTATCAGAGGAGTCAGTGGCTTTGCTCCGGGGGTGTCCACAGTTACTTACGTCGCCCGGCTTGGTTGGTATGGTCCCTTCAGCCTTCAATGGGATTTTACTAATCTGGGTAGAAGTCGCATACTTTTCCCATTCGGCGGGCGACTTTGGGCTTTGGGAGAAAGAGTCACTCATTTCGATTCTGGGTATGTTGCAATGAACTTGTCCTGTACAGGTGGATTTTATAATACTGTAGCTGAGCTGAACCTCCCAGTTGTAGGTGTATGGACTGCTCAGGTGACGGGCTGAGATCGCGGGAGAGAATCATCCTCCAATCGATTATCAAACTATGCGTCAATATCTCTTGCTTCAACACTGGAGCGGGTCTGCAGATCAGATTGGCAGGTTGCCTTCTTCAGCTGGACATGGATGTGAGGGGTACGTGTTCGCCTTGAATCCAGACTAGTATTGATCCATCCATGCATGCAGCTGCGGGGTGTTGGTATGGTGATACGGTATAATACCATTCAAAAGAATATATTACAGAGATAATGTGCTCAAGACCATTATTGTTGACTAATATATCAGTTTAAGTTACTAGTTAACTAGTCAGTTACCATAGTTATAACTAACGTATTCGGTAAGCGAGCTAGCCTTGTAAGCGGGCTGGCCACCAAAACCAACCCGCTAATCTTAAAGGCATTTATCTCAACCAAAACCCCATTAATTTAATTAAACTAACTAATTGGTCTATCTGGACATGTCTCTCTTCTATGGCCTGGCAGCCTACATATCCCACATCCTCGTGGCGCCCGTGTAGGTGCCCATAAACATAGCGAAGGGGTTTCTGGCTGGCTGGGGGGAGGGGGTTCAATTGCTTGCTCTGGCTGCCTAATTAATGTAGAGGCCTCCAAAACTGAGAGGCCTTCTGCTAAAGGCATCTGCTTTCGGGATTTATCCCGTTTTTGCTTCTTCTTCTCATTTTCAGCCCGTAATTCCCTTACTTCTTCGGCTAATAAGATAGCGCTTTGCATCGAGAGTTGGCAGCCCTTAATTAGCTGGTTTAATGCCGGGCTAGGGCTTTGGGATCTCGTACGGAGTAAAGCATAAATTGATAAAGCTTGCCGGTGTAGCTGTTTCTCAGTAAATGGGGTTTTTGGGGTGAAATTTTAGCTAGAATCACTGCCCCGGCTTGGAGGGGGGGTAGGGGTTTGAAGGCGAATATCAAGCTTTAAGATTCACTCGATCAGGGCAAAAAGGTATTAAACCGGCAGCACCAAAGCTACTTTTAATAGTATTGGTTTTATAGGCCTCAGTTCGGGCAGAAGGGTAGGCTGCAAGGAAATCAAATTTGTCGATATGGTTTACTCCATTCCGCATCTTGATTTCAACCATCCGACCATATGAGCGCTTTAATACCGCAAAACAACCGATATCGAGCGGCTGTAAAAGATGTGAAGAATGTGGAGGCATACAAATTGGTATGATATCGTTTTCTTTGCAGATTTTATTGAATTTTGGGGTCAAATGGCTTCCGTGGCCATCGAGTATCAAAAGTCAATACCGTCCCTTCGTGCATGAAGAAGTTGATGGAATAAAGAGCTTTTCAAGCCAATGAAGGCCAATTTCATCAAATGTCCAACCATTTGGGCTTACTTTGAATCGCCAATTATCCGGGAGGCCATCAAACTAACCCTTGACATAAACCTTGCCTTTAAAAACAATGCACGGTGGAAGCGCCCACCCTGATGCACTAATACACTCGACCACAGTCACCCACTCGCGATTTCCAGGTTGTAAACGCGATCGCCGACCATAGTATTTAGCCCTTGTAATAACCCTTGCGGTTGACGTCAATCCCATCATGAAACCAGTCTCATCAAAGTTATAAACGTCGTCGGGATCGATGCCGTATTGAAGGATAGTTTTTTGAACAAGATTAAACCACTCCCTGATGATTTTTGGATCTTCGCACTTCACGCGCTCGTAATTATAGCGCCTTGAGAATCGGGATGAAAGCCCCGGATGCCTTTTCACAAAGTTATAAACCCATTTTTTGCCAACAGTTTGGACTGGGGTGGTTTCTCAGGCTGCGAGAAGAAGGTTTGCAGTTTCTTGTACAGTAGAAGGCCGGGGAGCTGCTCTGCGATCATCTAAAGAGAGGATCCAATTCTGAAGAGATTGCTCTTTGATTTCTGTCAATTTATGGGAATTGGCACGAGAATTCGCGCGATTTTGTACGCCTTGGAGGCGCGTTGACAAGGTTGATCTCGGCACATTAAAGCGGCGAGCTGCTTCACGAATAGCGCTAATTTGCTGGGTTTTAATAGCCTGTATAGCTAATAAGATCCTACCCTCTTGCTCAATTGAATTTCTAGAGGTTTGGGGGCGAGTTGGTGGCATGGTGGGTGGTTGAATTAATCAAGTGCTAATTATTGGACGCGTTTTGGTTGGGTGGCCAGCCCGCTTACAAGGCCAGCTCGCTTACCGAATACGTTATTTAATTCAATTACTGTTGTATTGGCTATCAGGGAGTTATATTATGTTATGTTTTTCTGGGTCTCCTGAGACAGGAGACCCCTATCTTTATATACAAGTCTAGTCCTAATACGACAGTAGTGCGGTCAGGATGACAGAACGATACAGTACCGATACGGTACCTAAACAGGAGCTCCAACAATTACATCATGGCAATACACTATTTATAGATCGTTTTCAAGGTGTATTAGCGGTATCAGCAACCGTGCGGCCCGGGTCGGGAATCCCGCTGAGATGTATGCCAAGACACCTACGATTGGCTGTCTTGAGCGGCTAAGGGTGCAGTGGAGCAAGACGTGTAGAGATTGGACTGGCAGAGTTGGTTTTACAATGGAGTGCATTTATGCAGAACTATACACAGCAACCGCAGATCAACGTACGAAACTAAAACCTATCTATTTCGGCCCTGGATTGTCATTCGCGGTTCGTTCATCGTGCGAGCCATTGAGGGCCTCTTGGACCCGCGGGTTCCAGTACGCAAAGACGGTGTCCTTGAAATTCTGGGCTGTCGGACGATCAGCAGGCTGGCTCTGAAATTTTCTGGCAGTCTTACCGTCCTGTTTGCGGCCGTCCCACCGCACGAGAACACTCTTGTGGAGCTGTGCCAAGTATACGTCTGACTTGTCAAGATGATCGACCTTGACCCAGTCGTGAGTGACTTGGAAATCCTGCATGACCGCAATCGCATACCCTGAAAGATGTCAGCAGGAAGGAGAACAGGTCGAATTGCCATTTCCGGTCACCTTTCATCGATTGCAAGCTAGGCTCAGCGGTTCCCAATGATTTCCTCAGTGTGATAGTGTCTCCCTGCAAGAGTGTTAGAATCCAAACTAAATGACCCATCGGAGACACAGAAACGCTACATACCAAGAGCCTGTTCACGCCCCCGTTGTGGATATCCTTCCTTGCTTCAGCTTGGTACCAGGTGCACCAGCTATCAGCCAAGGGCTTCAGCCCTGGGATGTCTGCGATGGCGTTGTCCAGGCTTTCAGATGTGGTCTGGAAAAGATAAGAGGCCTGCTGAATACTATGCTGCTGTGCCTTGATCGCGTTTTCTGCATTCTCTTTGTAAAATCTGGCATGATCTGTCTCTTTGTTTTTCTTGTAGGTGGAAATTTTGTCGAAGATATCATCTGGTTTGCTAGTCAGGTATGGTCATTTTGGAGATCGACAGCGCTCACTGTATATCTGCGCGGCGGAATCGGCGAGTTTGATCGTATCATCACAGCTTTGGCCCATTTGCTGGAAATCCATCTATTCAATCCTGTTAGCAAATCCACCCAGCTGTGCTTCACAATGGACTGACCGAAATTTGCGCGCCCAAAGAGACAACCTATCAACCGGTCAGTCACCCATCATTCGATAGAGGAAACCCTGACCCACCCGCGTATGTAGAGTGAATATACCCGGAGTCCCGCTGTGATCGTACTAGATTGTGTTCAGGATCTTTCAAGATGAAATCATTCGGAGAATCCTCGCTTACGTTGTTCATGCCATATGCATTGATCAATGTCTTGTATCGCAAATGCCGAGTGACCGCAAAAGTCGCGAACCACATACCAGGGTTAAAATCGACACTGTCCAGACTGAACAGCTTGATTTTGTCGCTTTCAAGGGCAGAAGATTGGGCCATCATGGTTTGGTTTTGAGATTGGTATAGACAGATGACGGTTTTTGAAAATTTTTTTAAGAACAGAGAAAAGAGAAGTGGAAGTACTCGGGCTGTACAACTTACAGTGGAAAGAAATGGGCGTCAAAGTGAGGGGCAAGGGGGGCTTTGCCTGCATGTATCATGCATTGGATTGTATCACTCTGCGTCATGAGGAGAAGAGAGCTGAAAGCTGCATTAGAAGGCTGGGATTATGTGGGAGTTGGTTTTCAATCTGTCAAGCATCACCACGGATAACACACACAGAAATTATCTCGCTCCACATTCGGAGATGCTCGGGGTGATGATCATAGGAAATAGCCTACGGATCTTTGCAGTATCGGGGCTGAACAGATCAGGGCAGCTGACAGGCAAGTGGACTTGATTATACTGGTAATGGCCATGGAGGATACCCTTAAATAGAGCACCAACCTACCGCTGATTACAACTTTCAACAACAAACAGCATATTCTTCTGCTTACTCTCATCCAATTTCCTCTAAACAAATCCAATCCATCCGTCACAATGACTACCATGACTGCCACCGAAGATCCCGACCTCAAGAAATGGCTCCCCGATGTGAAACTGACCGTCAAAGTCAACGGAACCCCCAACGACCAACCCAAGAGCCAGGATGTCTTTGCCCTCTCTCATCCCAAGATGGTGTCGCTCATGCAGTACATCTACACCGGCGCTATGCTGCCGACTACAACGAAAAACTACTGTAACCGGATGCAAATCGAGGAGACTGCAATTCCTTCCGATGTAAAGGAAGCGATGGCCAATGTTCTTGTCACTTACTCAAGGGTAATTCTCCAGATATACTGTCATGCGGGGGCAATTCTTTTAACATTGAATCCAAAACAGATCAACACCGAGTGTACTGGTTTCAGCCAGAAGACCTGGCCAGACATAGTCACCCTGGCGGGTAGTATCTCAGATTACTGTGAGGAGGCTTGTGGCAAAGGCAACATAGATGGCGCCTTCTATGTTCAGCTGTTGAAGCTGATTGGGGAGTATAATGATCTGAAGAAGAACAATGCAGACAAGAAGGAAATAGAACAGAAGGCCAGTGATGTGAAGGACTACGTGGAGGAGTTCAAGGACAAACTTAAGGATTTGAGTGATCAAAGCACCAAGATGCGCGATGCTCTCAACGCCTTTAAAGGCAAATGCTCTACAAACCAGCAAGACCTCGACAGCGAAGCTGGGAAAGTACAAAAAATGCTCACTGACAAAAACGGGGCGATTGCAAAGATAAGAGACGAAATTAAAAAGGCACAGAATGACTTGAGGGCGGCACAGGAAGAGTACAAACACGGTAGGTCGCCAATATCACATTATTGCCGATGGTTGCTCACTTTCCCTGGCAGATGTCATTGTGGCTTCTACAACCCCTGCCTATGCATGGTGGTGAGTATCCCTTGGTCGTTAAATATACACTACTGAACGACGGGCAGTACAATCTTCGGTTTTATTGCTGCCATCACCACGGCATCGATTTACGGAAGTAAGGCAGTCGCGATGCGGAAAGCTATTGAAAGAATCGAGGGCCTCATCAAAAAAGACGGGGAAATTCTCAAGGCCGACGTGGCCATCGATGGCGACCTGACCCGTATGAAGGTAAATAAAATCCTCCCCTTTCCTGTATTTTCGAATGCTGCTAACTCCATGATTCTGCAGGCCGATCTGCAAACGATCATCGACCTGATCGGGCCTGCCATCGAGATCTTAGGTTCACTCATCACTGTTTGGCAGCAAATGGGCGACAACTTGACCTCTATTTCGAAGGAGATTGACCTCGGGCAGACTATTCGAGGCGTCACTTTGGAGCGAGCCAAACTAAATAACGTTGTGACGGGTTGGAAGGAGATGCAAACAAAGGGTAAGCGGAAGATGTCTACTCAGCATAGAGTTGATACTAACGTCTGTCTTTTCTAGTCGACACTTTCCGCAATACCGCGTATATCCAAGACACCAAGAAGGTCATGACGATCAAAGAATGGATGGACAACTCAAAGAAATGATCCCCTTCAGACTAGAGGGTGGGTTCTCCTGGCATTGGGATACCCCGATCTGAGATGCTTCCATTCAATACGCCCCCATCTGCTGCACCAGCTTTTGGGAAACCTCGTGAAATTACTCAGCTTGATTGATCTTAATTGGGTAAACTACAATCCTAAGTCCAGTGAAAATGGGTGGGACAGTTTACTTTTACAACACAGCTGATAAAAAGGCCTTAGTATGGAAGTCCCCGCGTTTTAAATCATTTCCCAGTCTCAAATATCTATCTATAAAACAATATTATGCTCTGTTGCTTGGTGGTACATGTATCGTGTTAGTGTATCTAGTATAATGTGACAGCCAGGATAATCACATTCACGACCATTAGGATTTAGGAAAGTTCTTGGAAGACGATGAGTTTTGAAATGCGTTTGTAGAGCATCCTTTCTTCTGGCTCTGTGGAGTTACAAAGTATCACCCCTACTTCTGTCTATCGAATAAAAGTCATGCCAAAACTGCCGACATGGGGTACAAAGGGGATTGTTGGTAATGCGGCTCATACAATGTCACCATCAACTGGTCAAGGAGCGTCACAAAGTATAGAGGATGCACAGACACTTGCTTTGGTCCTTTGTCATATACTTGGACAGAGTCGAGCGGGCTATCAAGTGACACATGCCATAGAAGAAGCTCTGAGATTGTACTATGAAATTCGTCACAAGAGAGTTGAGATGATTGGTGCTGCCAGGAAGTCTGGATGGAAACATACTTGAATCGCGATCTATAATAATATTTACAAAGTGGTCCATATCACCCCATTTCAGAGCATCGTTGGATTTGAAGTATCCTGAACTTTTCAGCAATGTTCCAGGACGAGCCGACGTGGACGTCATCATCTTTCTCAGTGTGTTATGCCGTTGTCTGTCTCGGAGTAGCAAAGTATTTATCAGAGACAGCAACGAGATGGTGCACAAGGTATAAAAGGTCGTCGACGATGATAATTTTGGCACTCTGCTTCTTCTGGGTCAGGTCCCATAGGAGTTGAACTTCTGTCCACCAAATACATGCATGCAGAAAGTGATGATATTGAAAAACCAACTAGATACTGCAGAATTGAGCACGACTCATATCAAGCAACAAGATAGCGAATGAAACAACATGGATGACTACCTACAAGGAGTAATAAACGTGGAAATCAAAGTCAGTTAATCAAAAACCAGCAGACAGAACCCATTTTCCGCAGACATTTGTAAATAGAAGCTCTATAAGAAAATCTTGTGCACTTCTCCCTGGTGAAACATATACTGTGGAAGGAAACGTAAAACAGCATCACAGCCAGGATAGTCACATTCACGGCCTTTGGGAAAGATCCTAGGTAGCTTGTGGGTTCTGAAATGCCTCTGAAGAATATCCTTGCGAGCGTATATGTACTTTTTTGCTCTAGTATGCATGTTAGAGCGACCAAGGCAAGCTGGGCACTCGAGTCCACTGTCGCTCTTTAATGGAATAATCTTCTCGGAGGCCACATCAGCTGGAGGCTGGTCGAAACGGATTCGCTTCTGCAATGTCTTTGGCACATTGAGGTAGTGCAGAGCCAGGCGCAGCTCAAGGGAATGGATACGGTCCTTGACCAGCTCTGCATCATTGACTTTGTCCACATCTCTGTTCTTGAATTCGAGGTCTGCAAGGGCTTTTCTCTCCGGTATCACATGAGAGGTGTCTGGTTCAAAGCTAACCGACTTGCCCTGATAGTTTTGCTCAATGATGTGGTTTCCAACATTCTCGAAAAATTTCTTGTGTTGCTCATCCTTGGCGGCCTGATGCAACTTCTTCCTTTCTACTCTGACTTTGTTCTGAGCCTGCTTAGATTCCCTAAACAGTTCCGTGCCTCGACCTTTGTGCAACTGATGGTATATTGTAATCAACTCGGCCCGAAGCATGTCGCGTTTACCCTTCAGCTTACTGAGACCTAGGTCCTTCTCAAGCTCTTGCTTCCGCTAATCGCTCAGTTCCTGTGGTACAGATGCGTCCCGGGTCAGTCCTGAGTTGGTAGCGAGCTTTATTAGAGCATCTCTCAGTGCTCTGCATCTGCCATTGTCTAACCTCAAGCCATCTGACCAGATTGTCAGTCCAGGAGGAAGGGCTCATGCAGCTGCAAGGGCCTCTGCACTTGATGACACTTCTATTCAGCCCAGGAACTGGCTACTGGATGTCTGTATTGTGCTTTCAAAGCCCTTGGATGGGTCTGCTGGAAGGATGTTTGCTAATTGTCGAGCAAGGTGTTTTCCCAGGGACCATGGACCCCAGTTGCTGCTCTCTGCCCATTGCCAGTTCCCTGGGGTCTGCTCCCCAGGCTGGACGTGCTGGTCCCCCTCTTGAAAGCTCACTGGGAGAATCTTCTTCGCTGGGTGACTTTCTGGTAGGCCGAGCAGTCAGGTAGTATATCTCAACTGTCGGGCCTCCAGTAGAACCTTCACTGGTGCCAGGCTTGCCTCATGTCACGGGCTCGGAATAGAAGATAATATTGAACGGAGTTCTTATCTAAACTATTGTAGCTATCGACGAAAATATCAAATCTGGGGAGGAAAGAGAAGAGGAAATCTATCTATAGGAAATGGAGGTTTTATAGGCGTTTGTTTGACATCACCACTCTTCTAGCATGTTGGTGCCGTTTGTCGGTGTCAGCCATTGACGCAGCACTGAGCCGTTGACGCAGTGTCAAGCCGTCACAGCGGCACAGTCACCCCTCCCACTAAATAAGGCCTAACACTGTCCTGCATAATCAATCTGACTCACTATCTGTTAAACTGGTCGTCCACCCGGCGGGGGTAAACTATGGTAGAAGCGTGATAGAGTGTATATGGAGGTAATATATGTATGTAACAACTTCGGTAGTAATAGCCAGTCCCATTGGTGATTAGACTGAACGCTGGTCTCTCTAACGTTCGCCCAGCAGTAGTGTGTGTGTGTGTGTGTGTGTCTATTTTACGTCGAGGTTCGGGTCTTTCCACGCATCCTTGGGAACCTCGGAAGCGGAAAAGCCCTGGTCCCGGTGCGGGACATACGACGGGCAGATCGAGACTGCCTGTCACCTAGCTAAACTACCATCTATCATCTATATACAGGTAGCCCCCCGCGCGGGGGGCTGCTTGGGTT